TTAATTATTTATTTTTTAATTTTTAATAATTAAAATTTATTGATATTTATTAAAAATAATTATTTTTATTTAAAAATTCGTAATAAATCTTAACCATTAAAAGTAAAATAAATAATTAATTAAAATTTTATATAAATATGATATATAAAATTTATCTATAAATAAATATATTTTCATAAAAAATAATTATTATTTTAAAATCAAAATAATAGTTTTTATGTAAATTTATAAAAATATATATTTATTACGTGATTAAGAAAAATCTCAATGAAAAAATTATGCCAAATAAATTTAGGAGGAAAAGAGAGGACAAATCAAACTGTAGCCATACGTGTCCTAGGGTGCATCCTCAACTTCTCAGGTCCCACAGGCCTATGTGAACTCGTCTGATTATGAGTCAAAGAATGGTTGAGTTTAAAGCCCAAAAAAGATATATCCAATAAAATAAAGAAGTCCAAAATGGAGTTGCGACTTGGTACTCCCAATATGTTTGAGTAAAAGGAATGGAATAGAAATAAGAAAAAAAAAATTATTTGATTATTAAAAAAATTAAAGAGTAGGATAGGAGAAAAAAGCTCTTTCCGTTTATTTTTTAGAAAGTTTATTTATTTACCTAAATAAAGAAATAAAAGGTAGGGAGAATACATAAATAAACTTATTTATTTACCTAAATTTATTTTTTTAATATTATATAATTTTTTCATATAATGTCGTTATAATATGTAACTTGTTTGACATCTCAATGCAGAGAATATTGTGGAAAGCAACATTGTAAATTTGGAGCTGAATTATTACCGTTGCTCTTTTCGTCTTTTGCTTATTGTGAAAACCCAAAATAATTAATATTTTAATCAAGTTAATTAAACGCTAATCCTCTATCACTAATCACTAATCACTAATCACTAGAAAAAGGACATCGACCCTACAAAATCAAAAATAATTTTTCATTTTTCAATATGGATGCCAGGCCATCTATCCCCAAAATTACCTGATTATCCCCATCTATAAACATCAATATTGGAAAATTCTAAGGGTATTACGTCTTTTTAACTCCAAAAGAGCCCCACAATTAAAAGGGATCCTATAAGCTAATCAAACTTATATAATGCCTAAACCTCTTCTTCCTCTCCACCAAACTAAGAGGCATATGTCCTTTTCTCCTCTCCCCCCTTTTTTTTTTTCATTCTTTTCTTAATATATTTTCAAGAGAAAAGAGAGGTTTAATTCTTTATTTTGCCAAGAAAATTGGATGATTTTGAGATATAGAAATGGGAGAAGGGAGCATGATGAAGCAGGAGAACAGAAGCTTCTGTAACAGGCACGTGGGAGAACCGTGCAAGGCGTTTGGTAGGAAGTGCAGCCGGTTGGTGCAGGAGCAGAGAGCCAGATTCTACATCCTCCGGCGCTGCGTCATCATGCTCATCTGCTGGCACGACTATGGAGACAGTTAAAGAGACTGCTGTTGCAAAACTTGTTTTTGAGGGTTTTTCTTTTTTTCTTTTTTTTTTAAGTGGGCATGTGGTGGTATATATATCCCTCGTTCAGCTAGTGCCATAGCAAACTAAGCTCACTTTGTCGGTCCGGTGAGGCAAATATAGATGTAATTTGATCATATTAATTAGATTATTAGTTTTATATATATAAAGCACATACAAAATGAAATATGGATAAATTGGTGGTTTTGCAGGGTGGATGAAATGCAGAATATCATGTATCAAGATATACGGTTAGAAATTAATTAAGCTCGACGGAAATTTTGGTTCTCTCATTGCATGTGCGGTTCTGTTGAGAATGTGTGAAAATGTTAATAAGATGTCTGGGTTGAGAGGAATGGACAAGGGAAGAAAAAAAATTTTTATTTAGTTATTAAAAATATTAAAAATGTTATGATTATAATATCACATAATATTGTAAGTATATAATATGATATGTTATTGTATAATTAATTTATTTTATTCATGAATTTATTTAAAATATTATATATATTTGCTTATTTAATATCATATCACATTCATTTAATAGTGTATAATATGATATGTTATTGTATAATTAATTTATTTTATTCATGAGTTTATTTAAAATATTATATATATTTGCTTATTTAATATCATATCACATTCATTTAATATCATATCATATTTATTCAATGTTATATTATAATTATAAAATTATAATTTAACATAATATTATAATTATGATATTAATGATAAG